TGTCAGCCTGACAGATTGCCCGCTTTCAGCGCATCGGAGAGCGAGTTTGGCTCAAACAGCGAGATAGAGACGAAGAGAGATAGAGAGAGAGCGTCACTCCGGGTGTGGAATGCACCGAGGGGGCATGGTGAGAGTCTGGCCCAGCTGTTTAGTGCAAAAAGTGGCATCAACAGCAGGAGAACGCCACAATTATCTAGTCAGCAGTCAGTCAGTCAGTCAGTCAGTCAATCGGCTCGTTGAACTTGCCGTTGCAGCTTTAGTTGCAGTTGCAGCGCTTCGATCGCGCAAATCAATCGATCACGTTTTGACTCCAAAGAAGCACGAGTACTTGAGAGTGTTTACAACTCCGAGGTACCCTGTAGGACGCAGATTCCCCATGGCCTGTCGCAAATTCTAGGCGCACTCCAATATACTCGAACCTTTTTGTTTGCAGGATATCCAGGCGGCTTAGGAAAAACTGAAGCGCAACTGAATGAACTTTCCAAATGGGGCAGCACTCGCGAAATGCTGCTGGCTGCTGGCTGCGGCTGAGGCTGCGGCCAAGCAGCGGCTCAGATGGATTGATTGATTGCCTGAAACAGTTAGCAGACATTGTCTGGGTTGCTTATTGCTATTTATGATCTTGATCTATGGATCGAGGGCAAAAGCACATGCGGCGACTTCGTCGTCATCGGCATCGTCATCAGAAGCATCGAGCAGCAACATCGAGCAGCAGCAGCCAGTGCACATGCTGATAATCAGCACGGAGCCCCGGCCGAGGCTGATAATGATGCTGCTGCTGCTGCTCCGACTGAGAGCTGGCCTTGATTGCTCCTCATGGTAGCTCTCCTGCCGCTCTTCTGCCCGATGAAGATGAAGACGATGATGCGATCATGCCTGGTGTGGAGAGCAGAGCAATCATCGTAAGGCTCTGGCTTGGATCTGGCTGCAGTTACCGCCTAGTTTCTGATTGAAAACATTTTCCCCAAAAATTGCTGCACAAAAACCTTTAAGGGTAAGAGCCGTTTGGCTCGTTTCGGCTCTCGGGTTAAAGAGCTGTTGGTGTTAAGTGCATGATAATCGATTCGATTCGATTCGTTGCGAGGCTGCTGCCACGGAGCTCGCAGCTCGCAGCTCGCAACCCGATGATGTTGATGTTGATGTTGGTGTTAAACGGCCAAAGCGCCAAATTGCCTATTTATGGCCAGCAACAGTTGCTTGACTCCCTCCCCTTCCCTCCCTTGTTGGTCTCTTTTGGCCAACCATAGATTTGCATGTGCTAGAAAGTATCTATTAGGCCGGACTCGAATGCGAAATGGTAACAAAAACGAAACATTTAAGTTCATTACATCATGGCACAAGAAAAAATTGTGAATTGTAACACATTCGTGTGCAAGGGAACAAACGCTCGGAAAAAATCGAAGAAAAATCATGGCAACCGTCCAAACTGGTTAGCACATATTGCCGCTTTTTATAGACTTTTAATTACGCGATCGCCCAAAAACAGACGGCAAACTCCAAAAGAACTCTGTGCTGCTGCTCCAGCTGCAGCTTGTCGGCAATCAATGAAAAGTCAATAAAATTCGCCTGACACCCAAACACTCGAGCCAAGGAGTTATCATTTCAGCGGAGGTTTACATTTCAGCCAACAACGTGTTAAGCAGCGTTTTATGGGATCATTTGAGATGAGGCTGGGCCTGCCGCAGGTGCGGCACTCAGCTAAAGTTGGAGCTAAAGACACGCCAGGCTTGCCACATGCTAATTACGAACATGTCGCCAAGTGGCAACTGCACTTTGGTTCGGTTAACTTTTTGGCCCCTTACAAGGGGCTCAGACACGGCCTAATGCGTGTCTGCGAGCGTATCTACGAGTACATCAGATCAACGAATATCTGTGGTCAAGTTTTGTAGCCCCACTGCATTAGCCACATTCGTTGGATCCTCCCAGAACTGACACCTCTGGGTGCCATTAGGTTTTAACATCCTTGACCACACTTAAAATCCACTTCGAATGAGCACGCTTCTTAATATGCCCCTCAATCCTCAAAATATTGTCCAGAGTCAGAGCCAAAAAGCCTTGGTCCGCTGGATAGTTTTTGCCCCAAACAATGCGCTAATGATTTATTTAAGGCACATTAGCATCAGCATCGGGAACGGCATCGGCGATTTGCCTTTCAGCATTCAGCACTCGGCGGGACCACCGAACCGAACCGAACCGAACCCACCGACAAACCGGAGATTGCCCACTGGGCCAGTTGGGTGGGCGTCAGTGGTTGGATTTTTTGGGGCCGCACCCCTTCTGCGTAGCATTGGCAGTGACCCGGCGAGCGCCATAAACTTGGACTGGACGTGGACGTGGATGTGGAAATGGATGTGGGAGCCAGGCAGCGACCGCGTACTTCGTGTATCGCCGGCTGCGTATCTGCGCCGCGGGTGCAAAACGAAATCGACATTTAATGCGCTACCACAAAAATTGGCTGGGGGGTGGCTAAAGGGAGGGAGGGAGAGGCAGCGGCAGCGTTTCCGTTTGGAGCTGCGGTTACCATGATATCGCATATTTCAATCAATTTGCTTATTATTGTCGTTGCTCTCGGGGCATTCCCGTTAGTATAATAGACCATAAAGGTGCGCTCAAGATCGACACAAAAAGCCAGCAACATCAAAAGAAACATGAAAAGAAAGGGTAGCTTCAAGAGTCGAAGCTTCAGATACCCTTGTGAATGAAAAATATCTACCCATCAAACTGTATGTTCCAAATGGCATCGCAAGAAGATTACTCTATTTAGGAAGAATATGTACATCCTTCGCCATGTCTCCTCATACGCGCTAGACCCTTTGCGAGAGTATTGAAGACACAACAGAAAGCAACACAAATTTCACCACAATATATAAGCCAAGACGAATCTTTGGTTTTTTTTGGGGGGGTTTTCGGGATGGGATGCCACTGGGTCTGAAGCGTGAGATGCGACCACATGCAAATTTGCGCGGCACGATGTCGTCCCTGACAGACACTTGTCAACGAATTTCTTTTTGTTTCGAGGGGCCTTTAAGCTGATGCCTTAGCCATTTTGTTCTCGACAAAACTATGCAAATATATGTCAGGCCTTAGCTTGAGGCATGATGGGGCATGGAAATGATGACGACGCCGATGCCGATGCCAATGCCGAGGCAGAGTCGTCATGTCAACTTCTCGACAACAACAAATGAAGATCAACGTTGGCTTATTTATTTTATTTATATGTACAGGCGGACACACACACATACCCATATACATATATCCCGGAGAGCACGCCCCTGCAACTGCAACTGCAAGTGCAAGTGCAGCATCCACTGCATCTGCAACTGCTGGAACTGCTGCAACAGTGCAACTGCGGCATTAGACATTCAGTTGGAGGCAAACACTTGGCCTGGCCAGAGAGAAACTGCATGGCAAACACATTTTTCGCGCCCCAAAAGTGTTGGAGGCGTTTTGTTGTCCACTTAGAGACACGGGGCCGTCTCTTGTCTGCCGCTTGGATGTTGCTGGAGCCGAGGCTGATGCTGAGGCTGGGGCTGGTGCTGGTGCTGATCTCGACTTGCAGCAGCCACTAAGCGTCTTAGGCACACGTCAGGCTGTCGCTTCTGTCTGTTGTTGGTGTTGGTGTGGGTTTCGCTGCGGCCTTTTGTTGCCTTTTGGCGCCTTGCGGTGGTTGTTGTTGATTGTGGCATTTTGATTGATTTCTTTTGACTTTTGGCAGCGGCAGCCGCAAATATTTGGTAATCCTGCCAGCGAACAAGCCGCTTCATCAGCAATTTTAATGCATATTTTAACACCTTCGGAATCGGCACTCGGCACTCGACAATCGGCTATCCGCTTGACGATTTCCTCTGGCATTTTAATGCCAGCCTGGTAAGCACCAACTTTCTAAGCGATGGCTCCGATAACCGTACAGAATTCGTTGCGTTGACATCTTTGCCACTGATGCTGCTGCTGCTGCTGCTGCTGCTGCTGCCACCATTTGCGCGGCTGACCATAAACTTGATTTCCGCGCACATTCGGCGACAATTTGTCAGAAATTCTGGCACTTTTTCAATCCGTTTTCAGCAGCCTGCGTATTAAGGTCAACGTCAGTGCTTAATTGAACACCTGGACAGCTACAGCTACAGCCACAATCGCAGTCGCAGTCGCAGACCCAGTGGAAGTCCCACCAATGGTGGTCTGCATAAATGACTCATAAGACGGTGCCAAGGTAAAGGCAGATTGTTTTCCCTTTCTGGCGCGGAATTTCAAAATAAATCAAATAAATCACTGCACAATGCCCAGAACTCAATGGAATTGTTAAGAAATGTATAGATAAGATGGTTCCGATGGCATACATTCGATACAATGAATCAAAATGATAACAAATCCTTTCGAACTGCTCCGAAACTATTCCGAAACTGTTGTACAATTGTTTTATAATAGACTTGTGGACTCCGATTCAAGATGTTTTATATTGCGCCACATCTTTGACAGCTTTGAAGCTGCATCTTCGCTTGTCAAAGTTGCAAAAAAGTATCTCCTTGCTGTGGCTCTTTCTGATGCAGATGCAGATGCAGGTGTTGGAGCTAGGGCTTCGGCTTCAGCTTCGGCGTCTCTGGCTAAATAGTGCAAAATCGTGAAATCAAATTTGTTCACGTTGCAGTTGCTGTTGCTGGCAGTCGATGTCTATTATTCGCTTTATGTTAATCAAAACGGGCCAGAGAATCAGACACTTCTTGCGTTGTCCTACCACAGTGTGCCAGAGTGTGAAAGACAGACATCCCATGGTCTGGCGGGACTAGGCCACAAATTTGTTGGTGTTTGCTGGCAAGGCTTTACATAATTTGGTGGATTTCTTGTGGTTTGTTTCTTTCTGATTTCGCATTTGGAGTCGAGTCTGATTTCGTGGCGCTCGCTCGTCGTGTTTCTGCGGTGTCTTCCTGGTAAGCAATTTGCATTTATTTTTATATACTAGTACAGCGAAAATAACAAAATAAAGTGCTGGCTAGTGCTATAGGGCACTATAGGCTGTTCAGAAAGACGGGCGTGTAGAATCGCAGCAGTTCTAGGACGAATGCGACGACGCAAATGATCACTCCCAGGCCACTCAGGCGCCAGGCCAGCTGAAGGTCCTGCAGGGTGAGAGCACGCAGCTGCTGGGACTGACTGTAGTCCTTGATGGTCATCTGTCCGGCCCTGACCATGTCGTAGAAGCTCATCCGAATCCACTGCGAAATTAGGCCCGACTGTTCCATTCGCAGGGTAAACTGCTGCAGCCGGTCCCGGTAGACAGACTCCGGCGGGATGAGCAGGCTACTCGGCAAGTACCCATTAAAGCACATGTCGCGGGACAGGCGAAACACAGGACGCGGAAAGTGGCGCTGCTGGGTTTCAATGACAGCCCACTTCACGCTGGTAATAGTGTAGGCCCACGTGGTGTTGAAATGGTTCCGATTGTCGTAGAGATCGGTGGGATTGTTGGTCAAATGGAAAGCCGCCGCATACTTGGCGCGGAAATCCCCATCGAAGAAATAGAACTCGCTGCGCATCCCAAATATCTTCAGACCCGATCGCAACAGATCATCGAAGCTATCAATCCGGGCTGAGGCCGGTCGCGAGATCAGCAAGGAGAGCAGTTGGGCCGCGCAGGCGCACACCAGGACGAGGGCCAGTAGCCGAGGCGTCAAGTGCACCAATTTACAGCGAAAGTCGATCCCCAGACATTTGAATAGCGCCGGAACCAGCAGGCCAAAAACTAGACTGGCTGCCAGCACCACAATCACGGCCTCGCAGCTCAAAACCCGATGGAATAGCGAGAATACGGGTATGGGTCGCTCCATGGGCAGCATTATGCACCAGCTGGAGTAGAGCATGGGATAGGAGTACTGGTAGTACCATTTGATGTTCTTCTCCGTTACCATGGTGGGCGTGAGTCCAAAGTCCACGCTGGCATTCCTGGTCACCTCCAGCATGTACAGGCTGGAAGCTGTCCTGCCCGTAGCCCATGTGGGGTACGACACTTTCAGCCTGCCCCCCAAGCTGCTCGCAAATTCTGCGATGAACGTCCAAAGGTAGCCAGCGACTCGTGTCTCTCCATTTGCATCCGTGTACTCGAAGGAATTTGGGGGCGAAAAGTCCGGTATGGCAATAATCTCTTTGCCTTTAATATCTGCCAGTTGGTCCGCAAACATCTGAGGTCTGGGTGAGCCGGGGCTGAGAATTCTCTGTTTTATGAGCACAAAGTGCGGGAAGGCCCGAAAGCTGTAGACGAACAAATGGCGACTCCATCGCTGAAAATACAACATCACATTCAGCATGCTGTTCTTGAGGCAATACGACAAGATTTTAGTAGCCATAAGTTCCTCGTTCCTGCCAGGGCCAGCTACATCGATCAGCACACGCACCCCTCGGAGATGGCTCAGGCTCGAGGACAGGCCCATGAGCTCCCACTCGTTGGACTCCCGCGACAGGCAGGCCAGGACAAAGAGATTGCTGCTGAACTGTTGAACTAGGTCCACTGCAGGCTCAGCACTCTGCCAGACAATCTGTGGATTGGTGGTCAGGTTCCGCTGCCAGAGCCAATGCCAGCTGCAGTTGAGGCCGCTTGGGTTGTAGTATAAAACGGTGGTCTCACCGGTCACCAGGAACTGCAGCACTAGGCCGTACAGATCGAACAGTTCCTGCGAAATGGTCCGACTGAAGTGGGCCAACATGTCGCGGCCCCTAAACAAGAACTGAAGGACAAGCAAGGCTCGCAGTTGGAAGCAGCTCTATTTGCTTCTGCTCCTATTTGCTTTGGTAATGAAATCAAGGCTCTTATCGAATCCCATCGCCAACTGGTAATAGCAATTACCTCAGTAATTACCATTGTGCGGAGGGAAGTACAAAGTTTGCACAGTGATAATCGCGACTCTGAGCAAATACGAGATTGTGAACAGTGTAAAAGAGTCAAGGGTATGCGTTGTCAAACTGTTTAAGTTACGGGCAACTGGGAATGTCTCTGCAGCCATGTAAAATCCATAAATTCCTGACCTTTCAACTTGTGGGCAGGGCACCTTCGGATGTGAGCAAAAACCAGGCAGAGAAACAAAAACCAGAGGGAGAAAATATGGCAGTTCGGAACCAGAGGCCCCAATTCCAGTAACCAGTAACCAGTCAGCTGCAGCTGTAGAATTTTTAAGCCGAAATATATTTCGGCTGCACTTTGTACTCTCGCCAAAAGGGACAGCTCAGTTTTCCTCGGCGGTATGCGCCGTTTGTATTTAATTGGATTAAAACAATCGTTTTCCTAATAAAACTCTTTGAAACCAAGAGAAAACTGGCTTAGTAAAAAGAAACATAGCCAAACATATCTAAATTAAGTATTATACTTTGAAATAAATACTTTAAATATAGAAATGTTTTAAACAAAACACTTTGGTTTATAGTTTAATCTCTCGAAGCTAATGCATTGGTGTACAATTTTTAGACATACTTCAAAGTTTTCTAAGAACAACAAAGCTACTCTGGCTAATCTTTGTCAGAGTATAAGGACTTCGGCATGCTCCTTACTTGATGTGACTGCCACTCAGCGTGCAGGAGGCATTTCTTTTCGCCTGGCATGACGTTTTATGGTCGACGTAGGCTTAACTCCGCCGATCCTTCATGGCATCTGACAACACCCTCGCATCCGTCTTGCGGAGAAAGTTATGTGGACCGCTTGCCTCTTGCGGTTGACCGTCGACGGTCGGCCTGCGTAAGTATTTTCCTCTTCGCTGACCTTCGTGGCTGGGACAGATCGTTTAATAATTTGCAGCAAATTATAAGCAACGGCTCGAGTGGAAGCCTGGATGACTGCCAGAGAAAATGGTGGACGGGAGGGCGGTAGGAGGGCAACTAATGGCGGCAGCACTCTCCCGGGACACCAAGAGCACGATTCGAAATTGTCTCACATGTCGTGCTCTTGGATCTTGGCTTATGGCACGCCCCCGCATCTCACCTTTAACGTTGCAATGATTCTGGCTTCATTTTCCCGTCGATCACGGCGACATAATTCATTCCGCCAGGCTTCGTGTTTTGTGGAAATTTGTCAACAAAGTCGTGGCGCTTCTTGTGTGTCATAAATTGCCCATGGCCTGCCAATTGTCCCATCCCCAAAAGACACATATCTATATGGACTGGGAGTATTATTCTAGGTCACCTGAAAAGGTTTAAAAGTAATTTATTTGAATCTTTATTATTCATTGCTCTATCATAAATATCTGAACAAGGCATTAAGGCATTTGCGTGTGAACATGTTGCATTTGTTTAAAAGGTTTTCCTCGACAGTCGACAGTCGATTCATTTGCTTAACAAGAGCTCATTTGAAATTGAGATGTGCAATGTTGCAACACATCTTTTGACAGCGGTTCGATGCGGACCAAAAATGCATCTTCGGCTGTCGAAATTACACAAAAGTATCTCGTTGCTGTGGCTCTTTCTAATGCAGATGCAGATGCAGGTGTTGGAGCTAGGGCTTCGGCTTCAGCTTCGGCTTCAGCTTCGGCTTCTCTGGCTAAATAGTGCAAAATCGTGAAATCAAATTTGTTCACGTTGCTGTTGCTGTTTTTGGCAGTCGATGTCTATTATTCGCTTTATGTTAATCAAAACGGGCCAACGAATCAGACACTTCTTACGCTGTCCTACCACAGTGCCAAAGTGTAAAAGACAGACATCCCATGGCCTCACTCTACCCCTCTTTGGCGGGACTAGGCCACAAAATTGTTGGTGCTGGAGACTTCTTCTCCTTCTGCATTGTTTACGGCCAAGGTTTTAACATAATTTGGTGCATTTGTTGCGGTTTGTCTGGGGTCTTTTTCGGGGGGTGGGATCGGTTCGACTCTGATTTGTTCGTCTCCCATTTCGTGGTGCTCGTCGTGTCGCTGCGGTGTCTTCGTAGGAGGCAATTTGCATTTAGTTTTATTTGCCTTTGCCGTCGACAAAAAACGGAGAGAACAGCCAACACGAAGGTGTAAGTGTAAGACAGTAGGAAACCACTCAGCGATGCCAACAGCATTGTTAACTACTCTACTGTCTGTTCCAGCAGGACGAGGACCCATGGCAGAGCCCTTGTCTTCGTCTCCGTCACGAAGTGAAACAAAAAGTTTCCCCTTGCTGTTTGTCTGTTTGTCTGTTAGCTTGTCTCTATTTGCCGAAGGCGGCATGGTGGTTACAGTTACAGGAAACGGGGTAGTCCGAAGTCCATTGTGGCTCTATCGCGCGCACATCACAGCTAACAAATTTCTCCACGTAATTGCCGCGAGGATAATTAAAAGCCCAGCCAGGACTTGGCTAGGGGCACAAGCTGCTCGCAGACAAACACCCACAGGCTAATTAGGACACAAGCACCGTAGCACAGAAATAAATTGGCCAGGTCCTCGCCGGACAGCGACTGGATGTGGCGCCCTTCGCTGAGGTCGCGTATGTGGAGGCGACCCGCCTGCACCATGTAGTAGAAGCTCCGATCCACCCAATGGTCGAACAGTCCAGATTCACCCAGCTGCAGCATGAAGTGGTGCAGGGTGGGGCGGTGCGGGGAGTTCTCGGGAATGACCAGGGCGAAGGGCACCATTTCGTAGTAGCAGAGGTCCGTGGAGTAGCGGAAGAGGGGTCGAGAGCTGTGGGACTGCTGTTCCGCATAGAGCTGCCACTTGGTGTTCGTCACCGTATAGGCGAAGGAGGTGTTCAGGGAGTTCCTCAACTGGATCAGCTCCGAGGCGAGATTGCTGAGCCGGAAGATGCTGGCGAATCTCGTGCGCATGTCGAAATCGTAGGCGGCGTACTCGGACCGAACTCCGAAGATATGCAGCTTGGTTTTGGCTAACGCCTGGAAGCTGTCGATGGGCGGATCTGTGGGTGCAGACACCAGCAGACTCAGGAGTCTTCCCTGGTAGTTGGCCGTGAGCAGAGTGACCAGAATCAGCCAACCCAGGGCCTGGAGTCGCCTGTGACGCAGCCACCGCCCGCGCAGAAACTCGTGCAACAGCCAAAGCAGAAGCAGTAGCGTGAACGTCTTAGCGGGCACGGTCCAGGAGAACACCTCGCTGATTTCCAGCTCACGTTCCGTGGGCAGCATGGTGCACCAACTGGCACAGTGCACCGGATAGGCGTACTCGTGGTAGCGGTCCAGGTAGCGCATCGATATGGGTTGCACACTCGCTGCCACATCCACCCGGCCGTCACTGGCCAGGTCCAACATCTGAATGTGGCTCAGGGTCTTTCCCTGCACCGGCTGACCAATCATCTGCAGATGAGCATTGTGTTTGCTGGCGAATTCCACTAGCATATTCCACACGTAGCCTAGAATCTGGGCACGACCCTGCTGATCGTAATAGAGGAGGGTGTTCGGCTCGGAGAGATCCGGCATTGTGCGCAGTTGATAGCCATTGAGATTCATCACCTTATCGGGGTATAGGTTTGAGATCGCAGAATCCGATCCAAAGAAATGTTTCCTCAATGAAAGCCTGGGATATGCATCGAAGCCGTACACAATCCGGGTCTCCTCAAAGTTACTCAAGACCACATCGGCATTGATCATCTCCATTCGAAGGCAGAACTCCAGGACCTTTGCGACCAACTTGTCGTCGTCATGATTCGCAGCCAACTCGATGAGCAGCCAGGCCTGTCGCAGGTAACGCAAACTATTGGACAGTCCTCTCAGAAGATCCTCCCGATGCACGCCCGGCAAGCAGGCCAGCACCAGGAGTCCTTCGTTCAGGAGCCCGTTGAGCTGAACAACAGTTCTAACCGAACGCCAAATAAACAATGGTATATCCGAGGCTGCGCCTGGGCGTAGATATTCCTCCAAGTGGCATTCGCTTCCGGCGGGGTTGTAGTAGAATATGGTCCTCAATTGCGGACTGCGACTAAGCAACGATACAAGCCGAATGTATAGTCCTTCGGTGAGAGAACTGTTCCGTCGCGACATGTTTGAGCACTGACAACCGTCTGACCTCTTCCAGGAATGGATTGGGGTAATTATTTACTTAAAATAGAAGTTTGCTTGTTCCGCTGCCGACAAAATGGGAACTTCGTTTTCCACGGATTGAGTGACGTTTCCCTGATTTAATTACCCCTATACTATATGGAGCAAAGGACGATTACTCATTAGACACGCGCCAGCAAAAAAAGCTGCTGGCCGTAAAAGACAGTCGAGTGGAATTACAGTGCAACCAAAACAATTTTAAATTTATATGATTTAGCATATAAAAAATATCTAACGATCTAACGTATTTGCAGTAAATTGAGAAAAAAATGGGATTGTAAAAACAAACACACCTATATTTAAATTAAATATTCGATTTCATGTAAAAACAAAGTGAAATTATGTAGAATGACTTTGTCTTAAATTTATATGCATTAAAAAATTTGTTTTTAAATATAATAAACTGAAGTCTGTAGGAAATAAATTTGATTTAAATATTAAAATATGCGATTTGAATATGATATATATTTTAATTTACCACTCTCGGTCAAATACAATGGTATAGATATTCAAATCGAAGTGAAAATAGTCGGCGTTCCGGGTTTCTTTCTCTGGCTAAGGAATTTATATGTAACAGTGCGAACTAGATCAAGGTAACTTCAATACTATATCTATATTTAGATATATCTATCAACACACAAACTCCAACTATTTATTAGCCCTGTTCCACAAATACCCTTTACCGATGTCACTCCAATTAAAAGTTGTTCAAGCAAACATTGACTTAATGGGCAGCGAGCATAGCAGAATACAACATAAATTCAATCTACCCCGTTCGGCAAAGAGTCCTGTACGTAGGACTTGAATCCTCCCTGGCCCCGTTTCCATGTGGCTGGCCTGCTCAGGGATATGGAACGGAAACTTGTTGTTCTTTTCGATTTGTCAGCGTTTTTAAGGGCTGACTTGCATACTCCGGCTGGCTCTGAACACAATGCAAATGCAACCGGACAGAGAAAACGGCAGCGAATTCAAGAGGAAACGCCAACGCTCGAAAGCAAAAGTTGCGTCGCTCACAAATTGTTGCAGTCCTGACCTGTCGCCAATGTGACCCAAATAAAAAGACAAGAAGGTTTCAGGAGATACATTCTCGACGGTCTGAATACCCCAACAAAAATTGTATACTCAGACCACAACAGAACAGTACTGGTGATGAAAATATTCGAGATCACTAAAATATTTAATAGAATAAAAAATGTTAAATTTTCGGGCACAAGTTTTAGAATAAGCAATAACGATGATAAATTAAATGATATCCTTCACACTTCTCATTCATTCCAATTCTATGTTATATTTCGTATTATTTCAATACCTTTTTATTCATGTATTTCTTTATAACGTATACACCTACCGGGAGTAGAAATTATTGGGTATCCAAGACAATTGCTGGCCATCGCAACAAGAAACCAGCGTGTTGACAATGGTCAAATGTTCGGGCCAAATGTGAAGATGCAGCTGGGGATCTTAGACCCCCGAACCCGAACCCGACCCCACCACCGCCGCTCGCATACCAGCCCCATGGATTGTTTGTCTTCTCCGCAGACTCTTGCACAAATTCGTACACCCACCAGAGATGCAGAGGCCGGCTACTGCAGCAGATGCACACACCACTGGCTGGCCCCAACTCTGCACAAGACTGGCAGCGATGTCCATGTCATCATCATCATCATCATCTCTGTTGCTGTTGCTGCTGTTGTTGTTGCTGGTGTTGTTGTGGTCGTGGTCGGTGGACTGTCTGGCACTTGTTTTATCGTCATTTTACAAGCATTTTTCATAAATTACAGTTTATTGTTGTTTGATAAACGGTCAGCGGTGGGCGCTACTTGTATTTTGTGACCAGCAGCAACCGCTGCAGCGGGAGACACGCAAATAAAAACCCAAAGAAGAAATTATTGTAGTTTTTTATTGTATTAACATCATTGTCATACCCATCGTCATCCTCATCCTCGTCGTCGTTGGCGTTGCCACTGCCATTTGCCGTGTTCATGTTCGTGTTTGTTGAACGGTCTTGATAAGTTAAGCGTTGACATCTTTATGCCCCTGTATCTGTGTGGGCACTAAGCAACCGAACCCCAGCCAGCCTCGATCCAACTTCTTCTTTTTGACCATAAGAAGCAGTCATCGTAAAATTCACATAAGCCTTCATATAAGCGAAGACCAAAAACTTTGGGTGACACAATTAAGTATTTATGTATTCCCGAAGAGCCTGAGAACTTTCGACAGATGAGTGTTATAGGATTCTCAGACATTCGAAGCGAAAAGAGAGAACTTAACAACATAAATGATTAACTAGAAATAGAAGGTATGCCTTTTTCCCACTAGGAGGTGCTACCGTTCTAAGAATCCTCCTGAGGGAATGCTTTCACTCTCAGTTGACCAAGGAGTTCTGGCGGAGTTCAGCCGGAACCCCCCGCCAGGTAAGAGTGGCGCCTGGTCTGGCGAGCGCTAAGCAGTTGGAAAAACAAAAGATACGAACCGTAACTCACCCACTTATGATTTACGAGCCGAGAGTGGAGCCCGCGGGGGCCTTTGGCTTTTGGCGTGCAAATTACCAATGCAAATATGCATCCGCAGAGTGTCTATCGAGGGACGAGTGGTGGTAGTGGCAATGGAGTGCGCAGAAGTGGGGAGATGGTGGTGGCACAGAGATTTGCATAATTTTATGGCCACAAATTCCACTTAAACAACTTAATTAGATTTGAAAGAGAGGCAAGTAAAAAGGCTGATTTGAAGGCACTTAAATAAATAAACAAAATTCGAAAATGGAGAATGGATGGCATGTCCCTTTGGGGCAGCTGTCGTTTATTTATGTATCTGGCCAGCGCCATTTTGGCCAAGTCAACTAACTAAACGATCAAGTGCTCGCTGGAATGGGACTTATCTCTCGGAGTGGACCAAACTCAATAGCCACAAAACTGGCTGCAAGCTGCAGCCGCCTCACCGCCTCCGCCTGGACATGGGCTTGGATGTGGACTTGGACCCAGTCTGATGGGGCATTTCGGCGGGCGGGGCAAATACGCGTTCGTCTCCCGCTCTAATGGCAGCTAATCTAGTTAACAGTTTTTCAATTATAGACGATTTGGTGCGGCTGATAATAAATGCGATAAAACATATTTCAGGCCAACGACGCCAATTCCCCAGATTACATCAGAGATTGCCCACCGCCCGACGCGGCCTGGCCGGGCCGGGCCGGACGGGCCTGGCTTGGGCGTATTTCGGCTGCAATTGTCAAAACGATTTGGTCTCGGCCGGTCTCTCATTTGTTAGGCTCATGGTTATTATTAGCTGCGGGCGCTAATTGATTTGCCAGCTTGTACGAGTACGTACAATCCAAATGCGAATCATTAAAAACTTAATTAACGGCCTCGGACCGAACCGAACCGAGCCGAGCCGGTCTCGGACCGCCCTTTGATTCGATTCGCCCTTTAATTACACATTCTGGCAATGGTATATTCCATGTTTTGATTTCCCAATTCAATTTCAGTCTTAGAAAATCTTGCATATTGAGAAATCCAGCCCAGCGATGGCCAAAGGTGCCGGCAGCGGCAAAACAATCATTTTTGGCAACAAATAAAATTAATGAGCTCGGAGCTGGCAGCGGACAAGAGCAATGCGACGACGACAACGACTAAGACTGCACTGGTAACCCAGTTCAAGTGGCCGGCCAAATGTCAGGAGTTAGGCATTTTCTGACAAATGTGCCACATGGCAACGAAACGAGGCAGAGGTACGGGCAGGGGTACGGGCAGGGGTACGGGCAGGGGCTACGGCGATTCTATGCCAAACGAAAACGAAAATGAAAATGTTGATGGCAAGGCAAATGCTGCCCCTCCCGAAAGGTGGCCCGGCCCCGTCACAGTCACATCATAATGATGCCCTCAATCCGTGTCAGAGTGGCCTAGGCGAGGTTGGGTCCTTAGCCCAAGTCGTGCGCCGCCAACAAGGAATATGTCAGAGGCTGAGGCTGAGGCTCGGGCCGGTACGACGTGTGCCCGCTTAGCAAACATGGCCCGAACCGGCGGAACCAAAAGCGCCCCCTCTGACGAGCACTTAAAATTTAGCTAATGCCCTAAATGTGGGTCCATTGCCATTTCGGGGAATTTACGATATTAAAACTCTTATGTGCCGGAGAAGAAAGTTTGATTAAAAGTAAGTCAAATCATTTGAAACGTACATTTCCGTAAGTGTATTCAGAATTCATCAGATTTTCTCCGAATAATTCCATTTTGTGTGGTTTCCCCATGCAGTTCTGTGCGGCGGCGTGACAGCTTTGGGCCACAAGAAAACCGCAGACTAATGTCGAAAAATTTAGCATCGATCTGGCTGGCATATGACCAAATTTAGTTCGAGCCGGCGGCTCTTCTGCTGCCATGGATTTCAAAACTATATCTCTCAGAACGAACTCGCCATCCATCGATCTCACTTGGCTATCCGCAGCAGCAGTCGTCGCTGTTGCTTTTGCTGTTGCTGGGTTGGCCTGGCAGTCAATAAAATTATAAATGCCACTTATTAGACCGAACCATTTCTTGGCAACGCTTCGCTGCCTCGCCTGAGCCTCGCCGCGATTTGATGTATGTAAATATAATGAAGCGAATATCGGGCTAATTAAAATAAATTCAGGGCGTGGCGAGCTCTCATGCCGTTTGTAATTAAATTAATTGCGAGCCATAGCCCCGCCACAGCCCCGTTGCTGGCCGGCGTTGCATAATCTGGAGCTACTGCCTCCTGGCCGTTGGATGCGGAACTGCTGTGGCTGCTGCTGCTTCCAAGCACTCCAATCCATGAAACAATCGTTCTGCAGTCAATGGAATCGGATGAAATGATCAGCTAATTTGATAAGAAAGAGAGACCAATTGATTTTCCATATCTTTTGGGCCGTGCCCTGTCGTTCGGCAGTCAACGGCAGAATGCCCAACAGTCACCAGTCCGTGTCGCTATTGCTGTTCGTGTTGTTACTTGCCTTGAGCGGACTGCAGTCCTGCCAAAGTGCCAAATACCTGCAGTCGCGGGTCATCAATGGCGAGGATGCGGAGGTGGGACTGGCCCCCTACCAAGTGTCCCTCCAGATAGGGGGCTTTCACTTTTGTGGCGGCTCGATTATTACCCCCTTCTGGGTCATATCGGCGGCGCATTGCCTCATTGAGCACACGCCCACCGTAGTGGTGGGCGTTAGGGATTTGTCAAACGCGTTCGATGCAATGCGCTACAAAGTCAAGTACATGACTGCCCACTGCCGCTACGAGCTGGACGTTCACGAAGACGACGTGGGCCTGATCAGAGTGACCACGGCCATTAAGTTCGGACAATTTGTGCAGCCCATCACCATCGATTGGCGGCCAGTGGCGGCGGGCTCAAAGCTACTTACCACCGGCTGGGGCGCCACCTCGTACGTCGAGATCTCCAACGAAAGTGCGCCCATTGAGGAATATCCCCAGATCCTGCAGAAGCTTACAATGACTGCCATCTCCCTGGAAGAGTGCCAAGGGTATTACAAGAACAACGACGGAACCGGCGGCGTCGACTATGGCGGCCTGTGCGCCTTCTTCGCCGGTGGCACCTGCAGCGGTGACTCCGGAGGCCCGCTCGTCCTCAATGGTAGGCTGGTGGGCGTGGTCAGCTATGGTCTCGACTGTGGCGATGATATACCCGACGTCTTTGCCTCCATGTGGATGTACTACGACTACATACAAACAATGACCCGGGACTGTCTCTACCAAAACTGTAAATGCACGGAGCCCATGATATTTCCTTACGACCAGCTCTACACCGATACACATAAAGAACATTTGTATAGGCATATAAGAAGAAGAAGACTATCATAATCAAGGCTGAACGGTATAAATACGAGTATTCGGTCACAGTATGAAATAATTTACGCAGTCGTTTCGGTATATTTATAGTAATCTGGTTACCATTACGGACGCGATGGTTGGGGCGGGCTAAACCCGACAGAAAGACGCCTCCCTCTAACACTTTCATTCTAGCCCCAAAGCGCAGTCTGCTCGGCAGAGCAGGTGTTGAAATGGATCTGCCAAGATCCATGACCATATGAGCTCCCCGTTTGTATAACACAACCAGGAAGTCTATGACAATTATAAATCATCTTCGTCTAGGCTGCATTTCTGCAGCTGTCATGATGAGCACTTCACTTAACAGCTCAAACTCTGAATCAGACTCAAACGGGGGCTCCAGGTCTGAATCAGACTCGAATGGAATGGACGGGACGAGACTCGACTCATACGCGAAAACTGTTTTAGCTGCTCATTACAGCAGCAGCAACACCCGCCCCAGCAGCAGCAAAAGCAGCAGCAACAGCAGAAGCAAATGGGGCAAGTCAAGTGGTGCACAGGGCGTCCTTTATGCGCCCTCTCCCCACTGCAGTGGGGCAGCTAACTGGATTCCATTTTGTGTTTTGTGGCTTAGATAACATTTCTGCGATGTCAAATTTCTGGACATGCAGCGAAAGGTTCTTAAATTAGAAAAGCGTGTGCTGGCAATTCTTTCTTCCAAAGTATTTTCACATGTTTACTGACTCTCTGAGCTCTGGCTCTGGGTCTGGCTCTGGCTCTGGGTCGTCGTGTCGAGTAGTTTTTTGTCTATTAAAATGCTATTCCGACTGGAGTAGTTTAGTTGAACAAGGGGCAGAGACAGAGGCATAGGCAGCAGCAGCGGCAGGCAGCAGGCAGCAGCCGCCGAGTCGTAGTCATCATCATTTCGAGTGCTGAAAAGCATTTTTATGTTCTCGTGGCGTCAAGTGCCGCAGCGAGCAAAGGAGCAAAAAAAGCAAAAAGCTAAAAAAGCGGAGCTACAAAAGTTGTGCGCGGGCCAAGAGGGCCAAGCGGGCCAAAGCCCAAAAACAAGAACAATGTTGATGATAATACTAACAACAACAGTCAGCCACTAACAGCAACTGCCTGCAACTGCAACAAAAGCAAAGAAAGCCGTGGAGCCGAAGCATTTTACACCCTTGGAGTTCGATTTGCAAGGATTTATAAAGATATTAGTTTTACCGCCAACTACTTCCTATTGGCCTGACCATGTCAGATATATGTATTGAACTATATATCTGTGGAATGCAGACGGCCTTAAAGCTAATATAAAATGTTGAGTTCAAAAATAAGGTATGACCTTATCAAGTCGAAGCTACTTTCTTCTCTAAATTGCAAAACATCTGCTCAAATTAGATATACTCTCCGCTAAAGGGTATAGCAACCACTGTGGCTGCAACTGCGCGGCGTGCAAATAATGCAATTTGTGCAATGCGCCATCACAAACGTGGGAGTCAAAAAATTGTAGAGTCTGAGGCTGAGTCTGAGTCTGAGACGAAGCTAGAGCTGGAGCTGGAGCTGGAGCTTGGCTGCCTCATTTTAGTAGCTTCCCCACTGAGCAGCCGGGTCTTAACTACTGTCAGTCATACTCGTACTCGTAGAGCCGGGCTCTGCTCTGCAGTGGCTGTGTGGCCACAGCCGATGGCATTCTTGGGGGCTGCCTCCAAACAAATAAGTGCATTTAGTGTTTAACAAATGTTCGCTTTTGCGCTGATGGCGATGTTGATAAGAGCGGCCAGAAATGAATTAACAGTCATAAGCATGGGGCTGCTGATGACAACTGCGATCCCCCAGATGACAATTGATAGTATATGGTACTATATAGTACCCCTTCCCCCCTAACGAGATATGATGATGATGATGATCGTTAATGAGCCCGAATGTTTGGGAATGAAAAAATAATTGAATTGAATGTCTGGCAAATGGAATGGAAATGAATTGCAATCTATGTCCAGGTCTACGATCAGATTCAGGTCTTAAAGCGCATGGAAACGGGGGGGAGGGGGCCATAAAAACAGAAAACATTGCTAAAGCACCGCCCACGTCGGTGAGTGAGGAAAATTTCACCTCGACTAATGCAAACACACTTGAAAACCTGCAGGGGCAGCACACTTGGATGTGGAGCAAGAGATCCGCTTTAAACCGAGGCTGGAGGCAGACAAACGAGCAGCGGTAGGACCAGGAGCAGGCGGGTGTCTCTTTGGTGGGTTTCATTTAAATTAAATTAGAGCTGCCAGCTCTCTAACTGTAACAATGACTGATGCACGCACTAAAGGCTGACAGGCGAGCGGTCCATTGGGCCAACGGGCCAACGGGCCAACGGGCCAACGGGCCAACGGGCCAGCGGCAAATGGCCAACTCATCAAATGGCAATGCCTGGCCATCAATCAGCTCTTTGGAAGCTGGGAAGCAACGTGCTGGATACGTCCCTGTTCCTGGCCAAGGTAATTAGCAAACTAGCCTGCTGCAATCAATACAAATTGAAATGGAGATGGAAATGGAGATGGTGGATTGAGATGGAACCGAAGCTAGATGGCTAGATGGCTAGATGGCGATGCTGATGGAAGTACACATAAAGAACGGAATGGAGCGGAGACAGAACCAAACCAAACCCGACCGAAATGGGCCTCCCACTCGAAATAGATATCTGTTTTATGGCCTGTCGCAGGTGTCAAGTAATTCGTCATGGCATGTGGCAGGTCGCCACAGTCCGGCTACAGATCCGTTTGCATGCAAATTAGAACAACTTGGAAAAACACACGACTCTCGAGTCGATGCTGGAGCTGAGACTGTGGCTAAAAACTGAGGCTGAGGCTGAAGCTGAGACGGAGGCTGACAGTGCTGACAAACGGATTTGGCATGCACCTGCTGGTCCGGGGTTTTGGTCGCGGCTGGGGCTGGGGCTGGGGCTGGGGCTGGGGCTGGTCCGGTCTGGATGTGACCCCTTTGGCCGTGGCTTTCACATTGCCAGCCACTTTCAAGTTCAAAGACAAATGGCTAAGCATTCGATTCGATTTACTTTTAATTTATAATTTGCCAAACCTTTTGAACCCCATTGCAAATGGAAGCACCAGCACAGCCAGCAGCCACTGAAACTAAGAGAGAAATGAAATTGTCGATGGCCGTCGCCCTGGCAATTTGTGGATGCAATTTCATTTTGTATTCAGTTCCGCATCATTGCGGTGCACTGGGAGAAGTCCAGCCCCATTTAGGCCTGCTCTGATGGTCTCGTCTTGACTCCTGACTCTTTCTCCCAGTGCAGTCGCAGTCGCAGTCCGGTCCCGAACAGTGAGCAATAAAACTAAAATAGTGCAAATAAAATCAGGTCAAATGGCGCTCACTGGGCATTGGCCACGGACCACGGACCACGGCCCCATTGTAACCGGAGACCGACGGCCATTTGCAGCCATTTGAGAGGTGCACTTCCCATGCCGATGGCGGGGCACTCCTTTCTTTCGGGACTCGACGCTGACCCTGGGCAGCATTTAAATCGCAGCTTAATTGACTTTTGTCCCAGAGACACACAGCTGCGTATCCCCACAGGCAATCCAAATGCGAATCCGAGACGGGACCTGGACGTGGACGTGGACGTAGACGTGGACGTGGACGTGCTCGTGGATGGAGACGGAGACGGAGTCAAGTGTGTCGTTGTCAAGGCAACGTGGACAAGACATCAATCATCACTAAATTAAAAATGTGAAACGTTTAAAATGCCATCGAGGAGGGTGAGCTGAGCGATAGAGGCGATAGAGAGCCAACGAGCCAGCGAGCGAGAGAGGTGAATGTGGCAGGATCGATGCCTCATAAATAATGCAACAGCAACAGGCAGCGGCCAGCAACAGCAACAGCAAATGTCACATTAAACAGGCAATATTAAAGCTGAAAAGCAGATGACACCGAAATCATGTTAGGCGGCACTTGAATGAGTATCAAACGGCAGCTGCCATAAACACACAAACCCACTGTCCAACCGTCTGACGGGGATCTGCCTCTGCTGTGCTCTGTCTCTGCCTATGCTCTGCCTGTGCTCTGCTGTGCCGTGCTCCGAGGAAAAGGAGGAGCAGCAGCACTTGGCCCAGCTCCAGGGAGGACAAGTCTCGGTAGCAGTTGCCGACAGTCGTTTTACACTTGTCGCCGGCAGTGACCAAAGTTGGCAATTGCCGCGCCACTTTTATGTGGCCTCCGCCTTGGGGACCGACCCGACCGCGGAGGCATCAAATGCCGGGCTAGGTGCAAACGCCGCACGTCAATTGCTGCATTAGGCGATTCCGATTCCGATACCAATTCCGATTCCGTTGGATGGTCAAATGGCGTTGCCGTTGCCGTTGCCATTGCCAATGCCGTTGGAGAGGTCTGCGTCTGCCAGATAGAAGAGGCCCAAACAAGTTGTCATTGTCGCGTTATTTATGACAGTGTTCGAGATGTTTCTGTTACCCTTTTGCAGCTCCTTTTGCAGGAACTCCTGCAACACTTGTTTATGTTAATGCGGCTCCTATGGCTGCTGCAGCCACCGCCCGGCTCCTCCTCCTCGCCTGCCAGCGGCTCTCCATTCAAGTGTCCGTCAATGGGCCTCGTTAATAGAGTTCGAGGCGGCGTGTTCGTGTTCGTGTCCGCGTCCGTGGCCGTGTCGGTGGAGCTGAAGCTGGCCAAAAGTGGCGGGCGTGTGACAATTAAATTGTCAAAGCCGCAACCTTTCGACGTGTGGCAAGTGTTGGCCTGTCAGCTCCTGAAGCCTGTGGTTTCTCGTGTAGATGGCGCTCTTTGGCACCTCTCCAAATATTTCAATTATGATTTTTATCCAGCACAGCACTCTTTTAATTTTGGGTATTTTCACACAAGCCATGTTTTGGCCAGGCTTTTCGTTTTTCTTTTCTTTTTTGTGGCCCGCTGATAAATGAGCTTTGATAAGGCTTTAATGCCAGGGCGTTGCCGGCCAGGAAATGTGTGCACTTTTGTGGCTTAATGAAATACTTACATATAATTTTATTCAATTTCTTATCAGTTCGAACCTGGCCCTAAGCAATTTGTTGGCCATAAGAGCGGCTCCGTGCCTCTCTTAGCTGGCGCTCTCTTAGCTCGAAGCCAAGTCTGCGCTGGCGCTGGCCGCGCTGTTGGCGTCGTTCCAGACGCTTCGCTTAAACCCCTTTTTTATTGGTCAAAAGCTGATCGGCAACTGATATTGCAGCCAACTGGAAATGAACCGCTACGGCAGCAGACTCTCTCGCTCTCTGTCCACTGGAACGCCAGCAGCGAAGAGAGTCCCAGCCAGGCAGCGAGCGCGTGAGAGAGGTGATCCGCGATAAACACGAAGCAACGAACGACGCTGGCAGCGACGACGAGCAACAGGTTTTCTCGTCGCTCTTAGCGGCTTTTTTTCACCCGTTCCGTTGCTCCAGGTTCGTGTACGATCGCTCGGCTCGGGCGCAAACCACAGCCTGCTCCACCCCGCTCCACTCCACTCCTCTTGTCCGTGTTCCCTGTTGCCCTGCTGCTGCGGAGGGAGGGACTGGCGGACTGGGGGACTGGACTGTATTACTCGGTCAGTCGGTCTCCGAGAGGTTGTTGCTATTTCGTGTTGCCTGCTTTTTTTGCTCAGAGATTTTTTGCTGTTTTGCAACTGCTGCTGCTGCTGTTGCTGTTGCTCCTCTGCTGCTGCTGCTGCTGCTGCTGCACCGGCAACTGCATTGAGTCTCTGCTTCGGCTGCTGCCTGCGTCGCCTGCACTCGACTGCGGCTGGAACAGCTTGGGAGCCGCTTGCAATTTTCATCCTCTTGCAGTTTCTGTGCGACTTTCTTGCGGGACTGTTTGAGCTTGTAGCGATTGCGCGCGTCTTTTGCAGTGGGACAGGAAAGCATTTTGCTCGCGAGAAGTTCGCGAATTTTTGTGACTGAATCGCGTGCGCGTTTCCGAAGTCGCGTGCGAGCGTTTCCACTGCGTTTTGCGTGCTTTATTCGTACGATTTTTTGGCCAACGAACTGCCATCGAAATGGAAATGGAATTGCAAATGGAAATTAAAATGGGACCCAAAATGGAAATAGACACTGAGAGGCAAATGAAAATGAAAATGATAATCCCGCCTGCATCTGGCGCTCAAACCTAATCTTTTATTGTGCGGCTACCTTACAAATAGTGCTCGTAAAAAGTCTGGCAACAGTAAAAAGCATTTCAGTGCGGCCATAAAACCAAATCAAAGTGGTATACGTTCCACCGTACATAAGGAATATATGTATTGTGTATAGTGTCCGCCCTATGCTGCCACACGATCAGGCTGAACATATGTACATGCATATAGAGTAATATCCACAACAGAGACACAAACACACAAAACTCGTTTCGAACATATAAAGAAAATAAATAAAAGTAAAAATCAAATTAAATTAAACTCATTTTTAATTACCTGCTGCCCAAAAGATCACATAAAGAGCGTGCAATAAAAAATATTGGTATCAGTAAATTAATTATATTGTATATAGAGAAACATGCTGCAATAAAGCGATCTTAACGATTCACAAATAAAGAAACAGAGGCTCCAGTTCAGCTAAGCTCCACACAAATCGATCCCGCTTCGGCTTCCAATTCCCGCTACAGCTTCGCTTCCAATCGTTCAGCGTTCAGCGTTCGCGTGGGGCTGAAACAAAAGACTTAGGCAACGAACTTGCTGCCATTTCGTGGTGTCGTTTGTCGTTTATTTTTTCAACCTGCACACAAATACAAATTCAACCGTCAACAGCACCACACACTCACACCCCATCGACCACACACTCTAACACACACACACAAACACACTCACCAGATAACGGTGCTTCGGGCGCCTCCGAATCACCGAGTGATAGCAGCGGCAGCAGCAGACCCCAACAGCCCCAACAGTTCCCAACAAACTAATTGACAACTCAAATCCTGCCAAACAACGAGAAACGGGAGAAGAGAAAAAAAACAATTGTTAAACAACGTTTCGCTTGCCAGTCGGATTGTCCGCTTGTCGGATTGTCGGCCTGCCCCACTGGGGGGACTTCAGCTTCAGCTCCATCTCCAGTTTCAGCTTCAGCTCCAGCTTCAACTTCAGTTTCAACTTCAATCAAATCGCTGCCCCAACGACAATTGCAAAGTGTGCCTCTTAATGCATTTTACCCGCAACCACAAACACACATTCAAACAACGAAACAAAAAAGAAGTTGAAATAAATTTACATAAATATTTCACTTGCCAGTTTTTGCCAGTCCACATCCGCGTTTCAAGAGATTGAGCCTGGATAGGCAACAGTGTGTGCGTGTGAATCCGTGTGTGTCCCGTTTTGCATCTGTATCTGTATCTGTATCTGGATCAGATCCTATCCGTGGCTTAAGCCGTGCACCGCATCGCATCGCTTTGCACCTGAGATTCTGCCCAGCATCAAGAGATCTTCCAAGTCTACCCCGCCCCAAGGTAAGTCGAACAGCAAAACACTTTGCCTCAGTTTATGCGTTTGTAATTGCATTTTATGTGCCACTGCCGCCCCATCCGCGTGCATTGCCTAGCTCCTGGCGCTGTGCCAATGCTTCATTTAGAGTTAGAGTCCGAGCTACAGTTGAGGAAACTTATCAATTAGTAGAGTCAGCGATTTCAAATACAATTAACTGACAACACAGCGGACGGCAGACGGTGCTGCCTTTGTTGTTTGGCCATAAAACCGTTAGTAAAGGCATTTTTAACAACAATTAATTGCTATGATTTGAGACTGAGACTGAGACTAAGACTCGTGCAGGGAGAGACATACCTGGCACTTGGCTCTAAACATAATTTATCTCTGGCACCAGCTGCAGCTTCAGCTTGAGCTCCAGCCACTTCCTTGCTCTCAGTTGCATCCCACAGTGAAGTAATAATCAGAGTGAGCCATAATTACAAGTTCAGTTGAGCAATTTAAATGAAAACACTTCAACACGTTAACAATTGGCGCGTCTACATTGTCAGTCGCCGTCGTCGTGGTCGTCAGTGGCCGAGAGTCTTGTGATGCAATTGATTGGAAAAGCGACTTTTTCCTCTTGCCACAATTAAAAGGAAACTCAGCTGAAAACAAACGGAGTTTTTCTCTGTTTCTGTTTCATTTGTTATAAATAATTTAAATTGCATTAGGAGCATTGGAAGTTGGCCTATAGGCAACGTTGGAAATATACTTAATAGAGATGTTCTGTAAATTATAGTACTCCACCGGAATTGCTGGATGAGTCTTACGAATTCTTCAATATACTCTCTATTAAAGAGGAATCCCTCTACCCTCTACTCTCTATACATTTATAGAATATCCATAGAGTATTCCAATGCTGACTTACCATTCTGTAATTGAATATTGAAAGCCGAATGAGAATAAAAAGTATTAATCAGCTTTGAGGAAATAGCCAGCGATAATGTTTAGAAATAAATATGCAAAGAATTATTTAATTCTCACAATTGCGAAACGCAAGTCACGAGATCCCCGCAGCCAGCAGGGCGTGTGCTTCCAGGGGGCTGTGGTGAGGGGTAAGCGCGAGAGCATACAGCGAATTAAATACAATTTATGGCCAGCAATGATGACGACAACAGCAGCAGCAGCAACAGCAACAACAACAATCACAGATGCATCAGATACAGCAGCAGCCGCGGCAACAGCAATTGTTTAATTGCCGAGAGTTCTGACAAAGAAATCGCCAAGTGACTGAGACAAAACGCGACAAATAAGTGCAAGAAATACTGGCCAGAAGCTCAGACTCAGAGCCAAGGCAATTCTTGGTAGTAGCCTCCCTCCCGAGTCTTCCGAGTCTTCCCAGCCTTAGAGTCTTTGAGTCTTTGAGTCTTCGAGTCCCCGTCCCCCAGTTGTTAATTGTGGACTCGGATGAGTCAACAAGAAATTTTCTTAATAGCTGTTGTTACCGTTGTAACTTTTTTCCTCCTTTTTTTAATTAATACTTTTTTTCCACTGCCTTTGCTATAATTTATGAACGCTTTTTTGTGAGCTGGCTGGCGGCTGCTGCAATTAATGTGACTGATTCGAAGCGGCGCAGTGCGGTGCGGCGGTAGCGCGTTGCATTTGATTTGCTTTGCCAGTAATTGTGCTCATTATGCCTGTGCTATTGTTGCTGCTGCTAAAGTTTTTTGCCCGATGTACGCGTCATTACACATGTTGTCTAGACTGAATGTCTGACTGTCTGAATGTCTGTCAGTCAGTCGGTGTTTCTGTCATTCGGTTAGTCAGTGAAGCCGTCAATCTAGTTGGCTGCCGTTTAGCAGCCATTTGATTTCCAGCTAACACTTGCTGCTGCTGCTGCTGGTGTTGCTGCTACTGCTGCCCTTTGTCAGCCCCCCTTTTGATTGCAAATCAGTGACGCACTTGGCTGACATTTGATTGGCCTGCCTCTGGGTGATGTCACCGCTGACCCGGGCTGTCGGCAAATGTCACGCATCCAATTGACTGGCAATCATTCTAAATACAAGTAGGAGGGAGGATCAGAGTGTCGATCGGAGTTTATTGCCCAAGTCTTTTGTTTCGCCACTCCCTCGCATATTTGGCTTACACTGCCATCGATTACCGCAACCCAAAAACCAAAAACCAAAAACCAACTGTAATGAGGCATGCGCAAATATTTCGCCTATTACTCAACCCGGCCAACAGGCAAGCACCCAAGCCAAGGCAGGCCAAGAAGACAGCAGAGCCACAAAAGCAGCAACAATGGTCGAAAATCAATGACTAGAAGACGTTAGGAGGCGCCAACTTATGTATGCATACATTTTTTTGAAGTTTTCTTCAGTCTCAGTCTTCAGTCTGCAGTCCTCAGTCCTCAGTCTTTTAGCCACAAATGTGAAGAGTTTTCACTAATTTTGAGCCGCAGCCGAAACAAAACACGCGAATCGTACGGCAACAACCGCCACCATGATAGACAGTGCTGCATAAATAAAAGTAAATTTAATGACAAGCAAAATATTTCTTGTCATGCCTATCAGATTACAAGATTTCTATATGGACTCGCTGACGATTCACCATACCACACTCGTATACACGGAGAATATGTGTATGTGTCGTTAAAACATGATTACTGGCGCTCGAAGAGAGCCGGACGGACAGACGGACGTACAGACAGAAAGACACAGTCACATATAGCCCAGTACATGACAAAGCCGTTAGTGTCATTTGAATGCGAATGTTGCAAATGTTACGAGTGCGATGTGATGTGATGATGCTGTCAAGGAAGGTGTCCCAGGTCCACGTCCCCGCCATCCAGTCTTTGATAGAGCCGCTGCTTGAGCAGCTGGCCAGCAGAGGAGACAAGTTTTGTTGCATTTATTCCAAAGATGGTTAGAGTAGGAAACGCTTGCTGCGGCAATCGCCGTGATAGGAAATACCTCTAGTGATCAATGGTAAAACATGACCCACTTTATGCTGGGTCAACCTTCAAATGATCCCACAAAACAGTAGTGCCAGTACCAGTAGTACTACAATATACGCTAGAAAAGAAACACCACTTCCATCAGACATTCCCATCTATTCAGAGTTAATTGTCTTTAACAGCACTGAGAGACTGAGACCTCCGCAGAGTGGGAAAACTTTTTGCCCATTACAAGCCCAATCGCCAAACGAAAATCAATTTCACACATTACAACGGAATCGAAACGAACTGAAATGAAATGAAATAAAATAAAGGCCATGAAAACTCGAACTTTGGTGGGGGCCCAAAGATACAAAGGCAGAAACAAAGACGCATGAAATTGCTAATTGTGCGAATGAAGGGCCCAGCCCCACCCTAGGCCTATATGGAGATGGCTAGATGTAGTACGTTTATACTCGTATATAGGCAGAAAAACGCCATGGGCCGCCTCAATTAAATTCGTAGCGAATTCCCAAGCAACAAAGAAAATTTAATTACACCGCATGTGGCACAGCCCCAACCTCAGTCCCAGCCCTTTGAAATCGGTTTTCGGTCTGTAATCAAGTGAGAAATTTCCATTGGGCCTAATGAATTTTTTGCGGCTGCCGCTCTTTTAATCGACCAGAAAACTGGGCGTTATCTTTTTTAAGGGAAAAGTCCAACTAAAATCGAATTTGAATCAATACTAATCGTTAATGATGTGCTGGTTCCTGTCGGCAATGATGATGATCTATTAATTTGATGATGCCATCCATTGGAAAGGAGGTCGGTCAGACCAGAAAAATATGCGATCACCAAATGAGTTTGCCAAATTGTTTGTCACCCAAACGGCAAACAATGGGAAAAGCTGACAGCGCTAATTAATTGCAATTAAAAATGCGTTTTCTGTCATCGACTGCGACGGCGATGGCGATGGCGACGGCGACGGCGACGGCGACTTCGCCTAATTGGCAGCCGCGAACCCATCCAACATCCAAAATCCATTCTGCGATGTTCCTCTTCTGGGGCTTTATCAGCGCAAAGTCATCGAGCAGGCAGCGGCAGCCACGTTCCATGTTTATTTAAATGGATAATTTGCTTAATTAATTTTCAAACTGAAACGCTTCGCATTCATCATTTTAATTAGCCGCAGGTTCGCTTTTGGGGCTTGGAGGCTGGCTCTTAATTTATAAATAATTTATAAATATTGATTTGACAAAGATCTGTTGCTCGTCGCCGCGGAGCAGCGGCAATAAAATCTTTGAGCTATTAATTAAGAAAACGCAGTCGATAGCCGATGTACCCGATGTATCAAATATCGGCGCGTGAGGTAGCGCAAGACTCATAAATCTTTCTGGCAGTGTTTGTAAAAAATAAATTCCACAGCTTCCCCTTTAATGGGATCGCAACTGAAATTAGGAGTGCAAACAAAGCCACAAGATATACAAATAAATACTACTATGTTTACATTTTATAAGATTTTACAAGCATCCGTGGGGACACAAAGGCCACAAGATCGAATTGAAATAGGTTTACTCTATGTTTTCGCTGGCTGTGATTTATTTTTCGCTTTCCTGCATCCAAATCTGCGATTTGCATATTTCTCGTAGGTGGTTCAATGAACTTGCCGAGCGGAGAGCGGTTTCTGTCTGGTGGGGGCGTCGTTAGATGAGGCGGTGGCGGCGGCGGTGGTTGTGCTGGTGCTGGTGGTGGTGCTGGTGGAGACGGCGACACTTCCAGCGCTTTCGGCTTGATTTGGCTCGCCTACGCGTTAATTTGAGAAATTTGCAAACATTTGCATGAAATCAAAAACGAAACCGAAACAAAGCTACAGATAAATACAGTCAATAAAACCAATCGAACTAAGTATACCCTCTAAAAGAATCAAAAGAATACCCTACCCTTGTGTCAATGGCTTTTTCGTGATACCATTTCCAAATTTGTATCGGTTGGACGTCTCTTTCAACTGGATATTCCCCACTTGGCCACAGGGTACCATCCCCAGCCTGGCACTAGCGATTGCCCAATCGAGAAGCTGCTGAATCCGGCATTAAATAAATAACGCATTTG